AAAGTTAAAAACTGAGGGATATAACTTAATATATTTATAAAGTGAAAAAACATCATTCAAATGCCATACATTTACATTATTTAATGATGAATTACTCACCATGATGTAATCTATCATATTTCACTTATGTTTTATGAAAAAACTTTATAGAAATTGGAAGTAGAAGATACTTAAGATTATTTTGTCCAGTCAGCATTCATTGAGAGTCTACTAGGTAAAAAGTGTTTTTTTTTTTTTAAGACTTTTTTTTTTAAGATTCATTTATTTCATACAGAACCGGGGTACAGGCCAGAGGTGCAGGGGTGGTGAGAGGATTCACCAGAGACAGAGTGGGGAGCAGAACAGGCAGATTGACGGGAAGTACACTGCTGAGGGGAGCAGTGGGCGGGTCAGGAGAGGTCTGCTGTGCCATGTGGTCACCTCCGGGGCAGGCGGGGATCTAACTCATGCTGAAGTGGCTTTAGCTTCTTAGTGCTGCGCTTCAACCCACTGTGCCACCAGGGAGGGCCCTAAAAAGTGTTTCTAACAAGTGGTGTATAGGAAGAACATATCTAGATGAAATTTTTGTGCTGAACAATTTTTTTTTCACTTTTTATTTGAAGCCATAGGTGTTATTATACAAATTGGAACAAAAAGGGATTTGTGTCTTGCTGTAATTGGAAGCTGAAATTATTCATGAATGTTTTAGATAGTGGGTTTCAAATGCAGGTGCATATAGAGAAAAGAGAAATTATATGGTACTCTTTGCCCTGTCTAGTAAAGCCCCATTGTCATTACTCAACTTTTTTGGTTTCCCACGCAATTTGTGCCATATTAAAAATTCATTTTGAGACTTTCAGTTAGTGCCCTCTAGTGGTATTTAAGATCCATTATTTTACAATGCACTTTGAAGAACATGATTACAACTCAGGCCTGAAGTCTACTTATAGATCTCGGTGATAATATTAAGACACACCAAGCCACTGACCATTTACTATTTAAGTATGTACTTTTTGATTATGAAAAGATTGTATTATGATAGTGATACGCCGTGGTAGACATACGGCATCTAAGAAGACAGATGTTTGTGACCTGCAATTTCATCATGTACTTAAGTACTTTTTTAAAAATAAGGAATTCTAACACATCTCAATTTCTAAATCAAATAGATTGATATGCTGCTGAAAGAGTATTTACTCTCTGGAGACATAGCTGAAGCTGAACATTGCCTTAAGGAACTGGAAGTACCTCATTTTCACCATGAGCTTGTATATGAAGTAAGATTACTTTGATATTCCAGAGAGAATTACTGAGTGTTCTTTTTTGCACACAGTGACCTAATAATTCTTTAATAATATACATCTTTTTCCTTTTAAAAAATTTAATGTTATGGGATAAACTTCTTTCAAATTTTTATAAAGATTATAGTTGCATATTAGGTAAAAGAGATTTCAAACATTTTAGGAGCAGTTTTTTGTATGAATTAATGACCCCAAATTCATTCATTCAATTTTTAGGCCATTGTAATGGTTTTAGAGTCAACTGGAGAAAGTACATTTAAGATGATTTTGCATTTATTAAACTCCCTTTGGAAGTCTTCTGCCATTACTCTAGACCAAATGAAGAGAGTAAGTAATACTATTTTGAACACTTTTTGGCTTCTGTCTTTAAATGTTTGATTGAATAAAGATTATGAGTTGTAAATAATAGTTGTATTTAGGTATTTTATAATACGAGTACTATTAGTAGTGGTATGTGTGTAGCTTTTCTTTTTTATGGTAATGTTTGAATCTCTTGTAGCTACTTCTTAGAAAGTAACATTTCAGCTACATTTTACCTGTATATATTTTTTAAAGATTTACTTATTCATGCTTACAGAACTGGGTTACAGGCCAGAAGTGCAGTGATAGAGTTCACCAGAGACAGAATGGGGAGCAGAACAGGCAGATTGGCGAAGTGCGCTGAGGAGAGCAGGGGCGGGTCAGGAGAGGCCTGCCAGGCTGTGGCCAGGGATCAAACTTGCGCTGTAGTGGCTGTCGTAGCCACTCTGCAGCTTCATAGTGCTTGAGCTTGAATCTGTTGCACCACCAAGAGGACCCCACCTTTTACTTGTGTTTTAAAGTATGTGGTTGTATGTTCTTCCTCACGGATTCTGTCTCTAAGATAGGAAAGTTATATTTTATAGCTAGAGAGAAACATGAACTTTTAACAAATTATATGCTTTAACTTCTATTTTAATTTGTTTGCATTGGTAAAGTTAAAAAAGTTATTTTAAGTATCTAGAGGAATAGATGGGAAGAAATATATCCAATATGTGTGCCTGAACTCTTTCTGGAGAACAGATTTAAAGAAAACACTCTGCTACTTATACTTCTAATTATCATGACTTCTAATTATTATGAACCTTTGGCCTCTGCTATAACTTGATAAAAGCAATGGGTTGGTATTATGTGTTTTATGTGGGCAATAATTCCTAATCTAATTCAATTATTTTAGGGTTATGAGAGAATTTACAATGAAATTCCGGACATTAACCTGGATGTTCCACATTCTTACTCTGTGCTTGAGCGGTTTGTAGAGGAATGTTTTCAAGCTGGAATAATTTCCAAACAACTTAGAGATCTTTGTCCTTCAAGG